ATAATATACATGGCAGTAAACGACAACAGTTGTAAGATAATATACATGGCAGTAAACGACAACAGTTGTAACATAAGATACATAGCAGTAAACGACAACAGTTGTAAGATAATATACATAGCAGTAAACGACAACAGTTGTACTATAATATACATGGCAGTAAACGACAACAGTTGTAAGATGATATACATGGCAGTAAACGACAACAGTTGTAACATAAGATACATGGCAGTAAACGACAACAGTTGTAAGATAATATACATGGCAGTGAACGACAACAGTTTTACGAAAAGAAACATTGCAGTAAACGACAACGGTAGTAAGATAAGAGACATTGCAGTGAACAAATACAGTTGTAAGTGATGAGACGTTGCAGTAAACAACTACAGTTGTAGGTGAGGAGAGATAGCAGCAAACGACTACAGTTGTAAATGAGGAGACATTGCAGACAACGACAACAGTTGTACAATAAGAGACATAGCAGTAAACAACTACAGTTGTAAATGAGGAGAGATAGCAGCAAACGACCACAGTTGTAAATGAGGAGACATTGCAGTAAACGACAACAGTTGAACGATAAGATACATTGTAGTAAACGACCACAGTTGTAAGTGAGGAGACATTGCAGTAAACGACAACAGTTGTAAGTGAGGCCCTTTTTTCCGAATAAATGGTATACATAAACTGTAGTTGTAAAACTTGCCACGATGTCGACAGTAATATCTGCGGCGTACATCGGATTTTGCGAAATAGACTAACCCTTATGTAACTCTCGGAAAGCCGATGATACTTTATACTCGATAAGGGCTGACACATATGCATGCAGACACTTTTTGGAGTGGATATAAGAAAAATTGCAATGTATACTAACGTGTCTATTATGTACAAGCCTAAAGTTGATTCTTAGAAGAAAACTACTCGGTGACAATGTTGGTGCTTAGGTACGAAATCTGTCCTTATCTTTATATCCCATACAATACATACGTATTCTCCTCGTGATGTTCGGGTTTAACATGAAGTTAATTATGGACCCATTAATTCCTATTTGTTTCTTCTAGAGAGCTGCAAAGTCCTGTATCTATTTCTGATGTGTTATTAAAAAGTTTGTAATAGATATGTAGCTATCAAACGTTATTTTAAACCCAAAGTAGACATAGGCTAAAACGAAAGTAGGAATCTATGATGAAAATCCTCAATCAGTTCAAGGGAGAACATTCAAGTTTGTCTTTCGATTTAGTCACTTACTTGGTGGTTTTGGTTTTGGCCAGAATATGATGCGATTCGGTATTTGGATAGTTTATGTGTAGCTCATGGTATAGTCAGGACTATTCTAAGTTATGCAATAGGTAAGTGGTCATTGTTTAGATAATTAGGATGATAACTGCATTGCATGTAGCTACAAATGTATCTTATTTCATTTCTATGACGATTAACATACTTTTTGAACGTTTTGTCGTGATATCAGCGTACCCATTGTTGTATCAGCATATAGATAGTGTACTACAAATAGATAGATTACGAAGCGTTTGGGAGATTTTCATTTTATAATGATGAAATTTAACAGCTTTTATATTGGTCAATACTCAGCTCATTTTCCGGATGTCCTTCAGAGCGTTTCTGAGAAACACTTAACGGTGGTAATTTGTTCGAACTGGTGACCCTGTGGTACGGTAACTATAAGGAAGGTGTACGTGCTTCAGTGATCGAACAGACAGGTGCGTGTCGGGCGACACACTAAGAAATGTATTTGAGTAGCATAGTTCTCCTTTGAAAGTTCTATTAGGTATTTAAACTAAAACAAAACACAAGTCAGTTCAAAGTATCGAGAAATATTTGTATTCACCTGTTTAGCAATATACTAATTACTTGATGGAGATGCTTCACTGTACGACCCTGGCCTGATTTGTGACTAATGTATAGTCATATTTATCCTAGATCGCAGGTGCTCTACACGAAGACTCGGTCCTCCGTTTCTGTAGCCGGGGAAGGAGATGAAATTTAAGGTACATTAGTTCACTTGTATTTCAAAAGATTAGAGAGTAAAACAAAGGGCGTGTTATGGACTATGGACACCTCTACAGAGATGTTATAAAGGGTTCGAAATCGATTTGCATTTCAGGTAAGCTACTTAATTCTTTACATCATGGTTTTATTTCTATTAAAAGAGCTAACTAAATGGGACTCTGTTCAGTTTACTTTAAATATGTTTATTCAGCAATGAACACGGTCTGAAAAGACACACAAAGTAGTGGTAAATTGCACAACAATAATTAGCATGAATTACGTATAGAAACTAATCATAACATACAATCCTCTACTAACTCCTTGACATTTGAAAACATGAACACCTGACATATGTGTTGTAATCAATTTGTAAAACAATAACGTATTTATAAAAAAAAATGCATAATTTGTGTATGATACTAAATAAATTTGGACAATAGCTTTGCAAGATTAAGAACACTGCAAACTATATCAATAACAATAAATTAAATTAATAGAATGACTAATGCTATTACACTTTTCTGTATTTTGGGATTGGAAACAACCAAGGATATACGATGTAACACGATAATACCGGACGTTATTTATACGTATCCGGATAAAAACTAATGGTAATATCAAGAGACTGTCGATAATTCAATTATAGGATGGTGTAGGTTCGTCGAAACGTTGATAGTTTATCTTTATTATATATTGGTTCTTATGGTAAGTACATATTGTATATACTATATATTTAAACCCACAGATAATGTAACCGACTCCGAAGGCAAGGCTTGTAGGGTTTTACTTATATACGTTATACATATATTTGTAACAGGAAGGTGACGCAGCTTTATAAACATACCAGAAGGGAATTCCCCTGTTTCGCTTAGATCAGCTGTTCACAACGACAGGTAAGAGAGCTTTTTTTCTTAAACATAACAATATTCTGTGTCCAGTTAACCCCAATAAAGGACAACAAATTTTGAATACAATTTAACAGACTACTGTATATTGAAACGTGATTCCTGTCGAGGCGTAGATCAGTCATACCTAATTAAATATGTAGACAAATATACATGTTAACAGTATATTTGAGATGACTTTAAGAGAGATCATTTATATTTCCATTTTTCTACATTGTATGAGTTAAGGTTATTGGATATGATGTTCTGATTCTACCACTTCCAAATTGTCTTGGGTATCAATTTTGTGTAGGTGTATGACGATCATTTAAGGCACCATGCGAAAGCCCTATCGGGCTAACTTGATCTGCACATGTAAAACAGCACACCGGAGTCCTAGCACTGCTAACTTGATTTTCATGTGTAAAACAGCACAATGTGCACTCCTGACATTGCTGAGTTAATATCCAAGTCCATTGTTGGATTTCCGAGCAGTGATTTTCCTATAACCTTTACTGATCGCCGGCATATTTGTTTTTCCTCCACTGAATGTGCAAAATATTCACTTTGAGATGTAACAATGTCTAACATGCCATATTGATGGTAATAATGTAAATGGTAGAGTTAGACTAGGGATCTGTGTGTGTGTGTTGTACTAACCAAATACTGAGTAATCAGTGCTATACAGACGATGAGGTAATCAGTGTTTTTGTAGTGTGTGGCTCTATGAAAAAAAGACCTATTTTTATATGAATAAGAATGTTTTTAGTCATCTTCTGCATATGTCCGGCCTTTTTTTTTAATCCTGTGATTACATAGAAACTACTGCCAGTGTATTTGCCCGGTACGGTATTTCTGTATATAGGATAACGATGATCTATTTGATTAATACGTTATTTAAGTCTATACTGATAACATTAAAAATCCATTAAAATGCTTCAGTCAACCACTTAACATATTCGTAATGAACATGTATGTTGTAACTTAAGAAAGGGAACAAACACCTTGGGGCAATTTGTTTTTCATTTTATTCAGTAAAATTGACAAAGTTGTTTCACGAAACAACATATTACATAAGTGACTGAAACATTAAATAAAACAAAAATAAGAAGGCAAAGGAAAATAATAACAATATTTGTTCCGTACATTATCACAGAAAACAATACCATCTTGCTTACTAGTTATTCATATATTTTGCCCCGTCATTTTCCCACATGGTCCGTTCAATTTGGTAATTCTTAAATCATACACGACTATACCTAACACATATCATCAGCCACACGATAAGATAAAACATAATATAAAGTATCAGTGTAATGAGTTCATCACTAAAACTATTACTCTGAGCAGTAATGGTATCAGTAAAACTATTACCCTGAACAGTAATGGTATCAGTAAAACTATTACCCTGAACAGTAATGGTATGCATACTTTGTGTCCAAAACTGCATTCAAACATCAACTAATCGGAAGTTAGTCTTTCTATGAAGAATGATTGATAGAATCAAAAGTCAATAGACCAATACGATATTGACTGATAGAATCAAAAGTCAATAGACCAGTACGATATTGACTGATAGAATCATTAGTCAATATTTATATAGAAAGTATGATTAGAAGTCAGATGTGAATATCTACAGAGTATGGATTGAGAGAATTGGGAGTGTATAATATACGTAGAATGATTAAAGAGTATGACTAGTGGAATCAGACATCAATATGTATAGGGTATGATCAATAGAATTAGACAGAAATATTCATATATAAATTTGTATTAACATGCAGTTGGATATAAAGTAGATATTTGAGAAAAAAGCACATACTTGTGTCCCGTCTCTCAATTCGCATCACATCCAGGCATTTCACCAAAAACCCAAAATACATGCGCCACACATGTAAATAGCGATACTGAGAAACCCCAACAAGAAATGATAAATGTATGGGAAATATCATATTTGTGAAAGAGTGATAATGTGTTGTACTCATGGGTCGGGTAGAAGTCCTTAATATCCTGTACAAATATCTCCCTATTTGACAGACCTGATCCAATAAGCATAATCTCTTTGGTCCCTTTACTTTTACTGAAATTTCACTTTTTGTTTTCGCTATATTTCCATTAATTGCATATTGTGAATAATATCAAGCGGGTTTGGCTCTATTGATTCTTGTGAACAGTATTAGAAAGTGCTCCATTGACTAGTAAACAAACTTACAGCACACGTTTCATAAAGGTTTATGTATTGTAGTAGACGTCTATTATTACTGCCTGTCGTTGACTTTGAACAACTTAAACAGTGATGGTCCTTAAACAAGCCGAAAACAAGAAACAAAATAACACTTTTGGAATGTACATAACATATACCTCTAAATGTCTTTGTAACATAAAGGTGAAAGCACAGGTTAGGTGTACATATATAGAACTAAAGACTGCTCATCAACTCATGACCTGTATATTACCTTACTCAACCATCTTACACCGAAATATTATTTTGATTAATGTTAAGACCCATCGAGTGGAATGTTTAAAAAACAAAACATACCAAAGCCGTTAAATCAGTAACTATTTAAACTAGACCTTGGTGGAGTGAAATGTTCCCTTACAATCTAAATATATATACACGAAATGAAATGTGTAGCTTCAATATAGCTATATATGTTCATATCAGAATAGTTTATAGGATGTAACCAGGCAAATGTAATACATATTTACACCTATTAACAAACAAAGAGGATCGTCATGAATGATGAAATACCTTTATATATAGACAATATATCATTAAAGCACCACATTCCCTAGGCCTATAATGAACAAATGTAGTATACCGACAAGGAAGTCACTATACAGTACGGAATGTAAAATAAGGCATTGTGTACTAGGTTATGCTTGCCAATCTTTTAAAATTTCCATGAGGAGAATCCATGTGCTCAAAATTAAAAACATTATTAACGTGTGTATATACCCCCTAGAGACACAATACAAGTTTAATATGACATATTTTGAGTTGTTCTCTCAGATGAAATCATTAGACCTTAGAATATAGAAATTCACTGGTTGGAAACATTAAATTCAAAGGTCCAAAATCAGTAGTCTCTCTCCTAAATAGGTAAATTGGCAAGTATGCTAAGTACAATTGTACATTACTATGACATGGATCTTTGATAATGTGCCACACACACACACACATATATATATATATATATATAGATTGTCTATCATTACACTCGATCAACTTGTCCTATACCACATAGTGTGGACTTCAAATGAAATTCCTAGAATCACATCTCCTTTTACCTCATTCAATCATACATAAAGTGAAGCAAACACCTTGCTTCAACTTCAGACAAGAAAACTCTGATGTCTTTTACTAGGAAACAGTCAAAATTTGATTCTGTGAAAATAGTTCTATGAACACATTTTTTTACATTTTCTTTTCTTTTCATACTAAATGAAAATGGAAAAATTCTAAGAAATATTTCGAACATTTTTTTAATCTTATTTTATGATGCGACATGTACAACAAAATGACAAAAACAAGTGTTAGCAGTTACAACAGGTTCTTACCTTGAGATCAATATAGTAAACATACACTGTAGAATAATTTCTTACATTACATATATTTTTTCAAGTGAAGATGAGGTAAATAAAATAGCTTGAAGTGACCAGAAAGAATTAAAATCTCTGACTCTAATATACCTAATACTGCAGTAAAGCAATATAGATGAATGCATCACATTCTTTTTTATAAAGCAAAAACATAAAAAAACATAAATCTGTAAGAAATACCTATATACCATGAAGTTACAGTCAGCAGCATATAAAATATCACAGGCTTGAAATCAGGGTCTGAAAAAATCAATCAAATGTCCTTTTATGTAATAATGTATTGACAGAAATGCTGATATATAAATAGCAGCAGTCTAAATGGTAGCCAACTGAGCTCTGCTGATTCTAACAAGGTTTTTGTTAAATCAGTGTTTTTCATTATTCTGTCCAAAAAACTTAAAGATGAAAAAACCTTTCTGTAAAAAAACTTTCTGTAGTGTTTTATATTACTGATTTATTTTAAAACAACTTAGGTCTTAATATAAAGATACACTTGTATTCATACAGAGCATAATAAGTGCATGACAATTTTCTTAAAAACGTTAATCTGCCTTCAAAACTCTTATGATATTGAACACACTTCTCTAGCATCTTTTAAATATAACTGAAACAGACACCTGAACATGACAGACTTTAATTGCAATCAATCCAATAGTTCGCCATCTCCTGATTACTTCAGTTCTCATGTTTCCCTACAGCAATGGTAATAAAATATTAGATATAGCATTTGGATTTCAAAAATACTAAATCATGTCATATCTATTTGTAGCTTATATAATATGATGTAACAATAAGACCCATATAACACATTTAATCTGTAAAACATTATCACAATTGCAAACTTAAGTATTCACATTTGGAATATATGATCAGGATGCCCATGAGACCTGTATTTCTTTCCTGTTTTTACTTGCTATCTGAACAAAAAAGTTGGAAATGTTTCTGAAAATTGTGACCATAGTGGCTATCTTAGATTTCATATGGAACTAAACATTTGAAATATAACAATTGCTCAGGGCAGTAAGAGATATATCTGCACAAAATTTGACTGAAATTGACATGTTTAACTTCAAAGTTAGTAAATATGTCTCAACCAGTCAGAAGACAAGATGGTGATTTTGGATTTTCAATCAACCAACAAATTACAGCTCCTGTATATGTTCAGGACTATACAAAGTTTATGCAGAATGAGTCTGGTTGAACTTCTTATTACATTGTTGTAAATATTTTAATGAACCAGGGGCAAGCATAGCCATTTGCACTATTTTCCCATTTTGGCTAAACGAACCATACCTTTCATTTACACAGTATTGAATCGGATCAAGGGATCTTCCATCTGAAATAAGGTTAAAATTCCTTCATCTGTAGCAATGAATCATTTTGGTATTGGGATACTTTCTATCAACTTTCGTCAAAATCCCTTAAGTTGTTCTGAACAAGTTTTTGTTTGAAGGCCTACTCGTTCAGTACAGATGTAAATCTAAATGTGGTTGGAATCTGGCAGACTAATCAACCCATAGTCCCCCACCTCCAGCCATACCTTTCGTATGAACAAAAACCCATAACTCTGAATAACCCTTTCACCACTGTAGACCATAATGGACTCATCCAGACCAATGCATGGTAGAGTCTACTAAAGTTACATAGGGGTGAAAGGGTTAATAGTGGGACACAAACCCAATTTCAGTATGATTACAAAAATATTTGAGAACAAAATATTTGATGTTTCCCAGAAATTATTGACCGATGGACGGGTTTCTAGTAGTATAGGTGGGACACTTATAAAATATAACTTTATGGTTTCACCCAACCGCCAAAGCCCTTCTCTATCTCCCTTGCCAATGCTATTGTGAACCTGTCATTATTCATACCAGTCACCACTTGTAAACCTAGAGGATGGCCGTCCTTGCTCAGCCCTAGAGGGCACTGGGTCACCGGCAGACCAAGAGTATTGAACACACCTGTGTATGCAAAGTTAAAAGGGTAGAGTATGGGTTCGTTATGATATGGAGCAAGTTTGGGATGGCTTGGGTATAGCAGAATTCCATCGTTAGCTAGCAGTTTGGTTATATCCAATTCTAACTTGTCAAAAACTTTGAGGAATTTCTTGTCTGTCTCGGGCATAGAGAAACTCTCGACGATCCCCAGACTTATGGCAGGCAGTGTGTGTTGGGAGCAGCCTACCAGCCACTTTAGTAGCTCCACCACACAGTTTACACGGCCATTATCGTCACTCATGAACTCCGCAAACTTTTTGCCTCCTCCTGAGTTCATCTTTGCAGTCCATACTTCCAGACCGTACCTCATTCGGTGTATATTTACTCTCTCCACTTTCAATTTTAGCTTTTCCTCCAGGTACTTCTCCACCTACAAAACATTTTGATTAAAATATCTCACAAGAAATCGAGTAAAACAGATGGAGTGCGAAAGTCATCAAAGACAAAATAAAATCAATTTAATAGCCAAGTATTTTCATTTTTTTCTATTGGAACAACTTAAACATTTCTCAATCTGATGCAGCAGTGAAAAGCAACACATTTATCTAAGAATTGTAAAAAGTCATAAAGCCAAATTATCATGAGAAAACAATATCTGGAAATTGGGTTTGCGTTTTGAGGCCTGGATTGACTAGGTTTTAATTTCTACCTTACCTTGCACTGAGCTTCTTTCAGTTGTTTATCTACTGGGCTGACAAATAGGCTTCCTCCATCGTCCAACATACTGTAGATCTTTAACTTACTCAGGTCCACCTACAGCGTAACAATAAGGAGTTGCATAGTCATAACATATATTTATATATTTAAATGAGTAATTCATAATTTTCTCATCTTAAACTTGTAATCTCCTGTTCTTCAATTGGCAGTCCACAATCGGATGATTTTTGTTTCTTGCTTATTTGAAAGCTTCCAAAAATAGAAATTTCTACTATGTTTTCATGCAAATATTGAGGTCTTGGGAAAACAATTCAATTAATTTAATCATTTAACAAAATGCAATAATCTGCAAACAATGAGATTTTTTTGTAAAAGAATATACTAAATGATTAGCCAATGAATGAATTTCAGATTTGGAGTAGTGTAAATGTGTAACCTGGTCATCGAGTTTAGCCTTGTGTGACGACTCGGGTCCAGCAAACACCTTGAGGAGTGGAAGGATGTCCTCAGCATAACGACACAAAGGGCCTGTGCTAAGAAGAGCTCTCTCCCCACCTGTGGCAATCGGGTATTGTCCTTCATTTGGCACCAAACCTGAATATAAATCACAACTCGTAAGTATAGACAGGACATGTTTAACTATTTTTTAAAAATCTATACTGGGTTTCATTGAACATTTTGGTCAACAGCATACTTACATGTTATGTAATGCCTATTTAAAATATAATCAAGAGAACTATAGGGGTGGATCAATTTTATACCTGTCCCATTACAAAGTGACATGCTTAAAATCCTTCGATGCATTCTTGTATTAAAACACAAGAAAACAATAAAATTAAATGAAAAAAAGACTCATTTGCACTACATAACCCAGTAAAGTTAAAGAGTTATTAAAAGAATATCGACAGACAGACAAGATGATCCCCGCACTATAATACACCCCATCAAGTATATTGACAGGCATAAAAAAAAACACAATAAATTCCTGATGTATATTTTCAATAATATATCATAATCAAATTTTTTTTTCTGGCAAAAACGTATAACCTTCCAAGTGTTCTGTAATGTCAAAGAAGCTGTATTAAGTGAAATTATACTTTATAACCCTATTCAGTTAGCATGGTAATGCCAGTAGTGGTATGTCTGTAAATGCCCTGGGCCTTACCTCGAGAAGCTTTGTGTCCAAACACACCATTAAAGAAGGCGGGCATCCTGATACTGCCCCCTATGTCTGATCCAACACCCATCACTGCTCCAGCTGTGGATATTATGCAGGCTTCACCACCTGTAAACATGTATAGTAAGGAATCACCACTAAAAAGCATTAAACAATGATTTGCTCAAATTATGCATGCAATCAAAACTTATGGGTTGTTCAATTAGACACAGATGATATTTTAATTGGACAGGACTGAAGGAGTAGGGATTGCTTAGGCTAAGTATATAAACGGATCTATTCTTCTTCTTTTTCACCAATGGAAACAACTTGACACTCGGCGGGTATGCATATGATTATGTGAAGGAAAGATGTGTGCAAAATTTCATTTAAACTAGTCAAGCACTTTTAAGAGTAAACTTGTTTTGTTTCAGGTATAATAAGCACAAATAAACTGATTATTAAAGTCTTTCTGCTTTGTGCAACTATAACATTCAATTTAATATCACCAGAGCATGAACCAATCCTTACCTGAGCTGCCCCCTACTATCCTAGAGGTATCGTAGGCATTACATGTGCGACCATTGAGATAGTTGGCCGACTCATACCACATACAAAGCTCACTAACATTTGTGAGAATGTATGGAATGGCCCCTGCCTTCTTTAGGCGAGCAACCACCTCAGCATCAAAGGTGGCTATCTTGTTTTTACGCTTCACTAGTCCAGAAGCATGTCGTAAACCTGTCCAGGAAAAAAAAGTAGGAAAAGTATTGGAAACGATTGATACACGCATGTTAAATGATTTTGGTGTTTTGAACAATCATATTCTGACAAATATTACATACAGCTTAAGTCTATTGAAATGTTCAATTGATGTACTGTCCATTTACATATCATGTACACTCACTTTACGGCAATCACTAACAAAATATTTGACAGAAATGTACAAGTGGGACTGTCCTGGCCTCTTTTTATTGCTTTTGACAGGTTCTACTTCATTTGTTAACTTTTGACAAGTCATACCGGTATCTCATTCCATTTCATGACATGCAAATCTTCATAAAAAAAATATGATCACAGGATATTATGTAAATAGACGGACAAACCAAACAGCATGATAAAATTCTGAATCGTAAAACCATTTGTATAATGCCTATAAAGATAAATAGGAGCAGTAAAATGAAGTATGCCTTGTGAAATTCTATTAAATATTGCCAAAATGTGAGCTCACCAGATTAATGGGGAAGACATGAGTTATAAAGTTTCATGACATAAAAATGTCCAAAAGCTTCTACGTTTATCAAGAACTTTTGACTCATTTCCATAATAATCTACATCTCTGTCTAAATTGCAATACATTATTTTGCAATTACCTTTGAGAGCAAAAGCTTCTTTAACAGATGTGGGGACCCCAAGAAATGGGGCATTTTCCTGGGAGTATTGACTATCTAAATGCCCACTGTCCAGTTTCGTGTCCACCTCCTCTGCCTCTAGGATGGCCGCCTCATACCTGGTGGCAGTGACTGCATTCACCATTGGATTGACTATTCCTACCCGATTGATGAAGGCCTCCATCACATCAACAGCTTTAACCTACAAATATAAATTCAAATTCTCTGATATTATTATTTAAGAAATCTTCTGGAATCCAAAGATATCTAAAGGGTTTATAAAACCAAACAATACTAAAAAAGTTTGTTGTTTTAGCTCATCAGTTACAGGTAACAATAAAGGCAATCTATAGTGTCAGACTGACCAAGAATATAGAAACTGTACAAGATGGCAGAACTAGACTGCTCAAGTAACAAATTATAAGTAACTACCCTGACACCCTCAGCAGCCTCATCCAAAGCATCCATTACAGTAAATCTAGTTGCCAAGGTACACATCAACTCCCTCAGCAGCCTCGCAAATAGCATCCATTACAGTTAAATCTAGTTGCTGAGGTACACAGCAACTCCTTCAGCAGCCTTGCAAATAGCATCCATTACAGTAAATCTAGTTGCCAAGGTACACATCAACTCCCTCAGTAGCCTCACAAATAGCATCCAATACAGAAAATCTAGTTGCAGAGGTACACAGCAACTCCCTCAGCAGCCTCGCAAATAGCATCCATTAAATAAATCTAGTTGCTGAGGTACACAGCAACCCCTTCAGCAGCCTCGCAAATAGCATCCATTACAGTTAAATCTAGTTGCTGAGGTACAGAGAGACTCCCTCAGCAGCCTCACAAAAAGCATCCATTATAATCTACAGTTACTGAGGTACACAGCGACTTCCTCAGCAGCCTCGCAAAAACAATCCATTACAGTAAATCTAGTACTAGTGTTTGCAAGTATTGAAAAAAAAGCCTGTAGAGTAGATCTGGATTTACTGTACCTCAGTTGACTCCCTCATCAGTCATGCTGATTGTAAAACAATTTTAGAGCACTTGGACTTTTAACTATATATAAGCTACATCAGGTTGTCACATTCTTTTGAAAGCTTGAGTCTCACCTTCAATGGCTTCCTGACTTTAACACATACTAATGTTTTTCGAATGTATCTGTATCTACAATATACTGGTAAGTGACTTACTACTGTTGCACTCTATCTTGTTTGTTGAAATTTATAAACAACAAGCACTTTGTTCTATCTTTTAGCCATACACAGCTAGCTCTCTACTGATGAAGCCAATTCTGCAGAACAGTGATGCTTAAATTCGTAATAATTTAATATGGACCCACTGTATGTCTGCAGCTCTATGGCTCTCTTGTACATATAATCTTCCTATGTAGTCAATAATACTTGTTAATACATGATATTTATGCATGTACTATGGGTGCATGTGTACAGGTATGCAAGTGCTGTTTATGCGATATCAACTACTGCGCTGTATGTCTTTGTCTATTTATTCTGTTTCATAATTTATGTCTGTTGGTGATGAGTCTGTCAATGAACCAAATGACAATGCACACAGTATGGACATTTCAATACAATTTCCTGCCAAAACTGTGTACTACATATGGATCCAATGCTGGAGTCTGCATTTATATATCATGTCTCTTAAGACAGAGATGTCATTTTAGTGGTTCACTTTAATGACAATGTATGCATGTGTGTTTGGTGTGTTTTTAAATCATTGTTTTGTCTCATACTCATTGACTCATAGGTTTAGCTTCTCTGAAATAAATTATAACTCTAATCTACATCTGGCTTGAAGTCTGAACACCAATGACCAGAGGTGACAAAAAGGTACAATACGTTTGAGTAACAGGCACTGTCACTTCTGTATAGCTCTATTGTGATACTTAACTAATTCCTGGACATGGTGAGTATTGTCAGTTCTGTTGCACTCTTGTGATACCTACCTTTCTAGTCCTGATGAGTTTTGCCAGTTCTGTGGCACTCTTGTGATACCTACCTTTCTAGTCCTGATGAGTTTTGCCAGTTCTGTGGCACTCTTGTGATACCTACCTTTCTAGTCCTGATGAGTTTTGCCAGTTCTGTGGCACTCTTTAGACATAAATCCTCCTGCACTGGTGGAACTTTTGCTGATCTCCAGTCATAAATGACACTAAACACAACAGCAAGAATGGGCTTCATCACCAGGCCAATCACTGTCAGCAGTGCTCGCACCACAGTGTCGACGGTCCGTGCTAGGGACATGGTTCCAGGTGGCATTAATCAGAATTGTCTATAATGGAAACAACAACTGCAGTTTCTGTATAAAAATATGCTATGCCAAACTCGTCTACCACTAGCAACTCAAATAAGCTAGTGTACGAACACACTGCTAATGTTACATACACTATAGCATTGCTACCACAATGTTGTGTCACAGGAACTATTATTGTAATACATAATAAATATTATGTAACAATACACTTAGTTTACAACTGGTTTGAAATAAAAAAAAATTGGGGGGGGGGGGGGCAGAGATATGTGTACTGTACCTCAGGTCAGCACTATGATATATTTCAGATCCAGCATATCCCTCAAGACAAGTAGAAAAAGTCTCTGCCCTCCTTTAAGCAAATTCACTATTTTACACTGTACATAATATCTTTTTAAAGGACACTACTAAAAATCTATCACAATATTAATCAAGTCCAATATGACTTAATCTCAAATTCTTATGGAAAATGTGCTAATGTATTCAAATTTAGTATACAGTCTTGTTCAATTTCAAAATATTTGTTTGATCCTACAAATACCTTAATAGTATACCCTGTATGTATAGGATACTGACTTATTGTCAACATTTTGAAGATTATAAAATGTCAGAGGAAGGTTTATGTGGAAACAGGAAAGGTTTCATATTTTTTTTTACAGATAAAATATTACTTGTGCTTCATAGTGACAGTAGACACTTAAATTGATTTAAAAGAGTTTGTTGTCAGGCTAGACACAATATCTAGAGGGAGCTTATCCACTAAGTTATGTAGTTCAAGGGAAGAAAGTTACTTTTCTCGTCCAAGTTTTAGAAAGAGGATTCTGACTGGGGGGATAAGTCTGTCAGATTTCACGATAGCAACTTTAATTTATGACTGACAATGTAATAGAATAGAACACTAAGTTATGTAGTTCAAGGGAAGAAAGTTACTTTTCTCGTCCAAGTTTTAGAAAGAGGATTCTGACTGGGGGGATAAGTCTGTCAGATTTCACGATAGCAACTTTAATTTATGACTGACAATGTAATAGAACATGCATGATTAAACAAGATTTTTTGTCAATGGCTGTCTGCTATCTAAATGGGGCACAGTTTTGGCTGATGTTGTGCCAATTTTAAGATTTGGCTTCAAAAGCCTATATAGGGTGCATGTACATGTGGAATAGTTAAGCCTTTGAACAGATGATTTGGGAGTCCCATTTGAGGTCAGATTGTAGTGCGACACCCAGATACTTATATATATATAAGCCTGATCTACATGCTCTAATATATGTCCCTGTAGGGTGTACTTATGGACAATATAGGGGCTCTATTGTTTTAGTCCCAGATAACACATTGCATTTTCATTGCTGTTCTAACTGACAACCAGATACATTGTACATATCCATGCCAATTTGTCATCTGCAAATTGTTGAATTGTATAGCATTCAGACCCACAGAGATATCTGTGTTTATATATATATATATATATAAAAAGAATAAGCTGGGTGACCCATTTAAAGAACTGATCACTACTCCAGAATGGACATGGCAGAGACAGAGTCATAACTCTCATCTTCTGCTACTCTTTGGTTCCTACCAGAGAGTGTAGCAGTCAATCCAGTTTGTGGCAATAGTGAGCCCTTGTACTATGACAGTATGTTAGGGCCTCTCTCAGTCTCTGAAGTCTCTTGTCAGATGTTTTGGTAGTAACTGTTAGTACAGTTGTTGTTATTAGATCTTTGGGGTGTTAGAAAAAGAAAATCTTATAATAAATCAAGACTTGGCAAAAATGCTACAGCCAAAAGGTGGCAAGTCTAGCTTAAAAACTACTGGCTGTGCATGTGCATACTTTACCCTACAGTCAGCTGACTGTAGGCCTAACGGTTACTGTATCATATATATATATATCATAGACAGTATGCCCAGTAAAATATATCCATCCGTACACTTTTCGTGCATGCATATACAGTATATTTTCCCATGAATTTCCTACCGATACATTCACTGAGCCTATTGATATGTGTCCTCCGATGGCAGGCAGATTGTGGTTACCGTGTAGACATAAGATTCATGTACGCACTTCCTTCCCCTTCCTTCAGCGTTTGACAAACATTCATTATAAGCGTTCAACGGACGGTGATGCAATGACTATGTTGAACTTCCGCTTTCCACTGCAGAGATACTTGTATGGGGGATTTCCAGTGTGTTAGCCAATTTGTTGCATTAATATGAAAAAACCACGACATACATTTTGACATAGTATTTTTAGAGTTAAATATGGTCAAAAATGATTTAGTCTGTAAACACGAGGAACGCTTTTCATAACAATAACATTTACTTTAAATTTTCACATATAAGGTCCAAGAGAGTGAAACTTTCTGGGGATTTTCAGAGCTGGGTGAAATGGGGGGTTTCCCTATAAGAATTTCCTTGAACAGCTGCCAACAGTCGTATTTTGAACATTTCGTAATCGTTGTAAGTATAAGTTTGTATGTTATATTCTAAATAGGAGGAACAGTTTGGGTTAAAATGTAATGGTAACATGTCCTCCGTCCAAATTTAACGTAAACTGATCAAATACGTTGTGAAAATCTAACACAACCCGAAAGGTGACTGCTTGTGTATGTGTATGTAAGTGGGCGTATAAACATATGTGCGTCGCTTATTGTTTTGCGTCTGACATTTTCCATGCAATTTTACGTATACATTTATAATAAACATTACGTATGAACAACCGATAACTACATATATATATAGATATCACCCCAATAATCACTATTGCAGTTGTACGTGAATACATATGTTAGAGCATTCCGTGCAGTACTTGATAATAGCACGACATCCTGGTTGTGGAGGTATCTTTTACAGTTGATATAAATATAACATCAACATATTGTATATGCTTTAGCATTGTGGTGCTACACATATAATGTAAATTGGAATGTCCATCATATAAGTTATATTAGATACAGTGTCGTTAGACATATCCATGGACAGTGATTCAAGTTTAAAGACAAATATTTTTAGCCGAGTAAAACCTTGAATTACAGGTATAATGTAGTTGTTTACGAATTCAGGTCGTTTATGTACCTGGTCGTTTAGGTACCCGGTCGTTTCGGTACTTCTGAAAGTCGTTTCGGTACTTTTGAAAGTTGTTTCGGTACTTATGGAAAACACACTTTGGTACCAAGTTTTAGTCAACGTCACCACTTTTTGCGTGCTGTATACCTTCAAAGGAAGTAACTCTAAGTCAAACTTGTGCTATAATACGAGTTTCTCTCCTAGATCAGAACAATGCCGTCACACTGAATACACGTATCATCCAAAGACATGATGAGTTTTGTGATAAATTTGATATCGGAACTGCCATTTTTATGACAAGTTGGTGAATTCCCTCAACGTTGAGTTTCTCTCCTAAAGAGCTACTCCGATCTACTCGGAGCTACTCCGATCTACTCAGCTGCTCAGTTAAAAAAGCAAACGTTAAATAAACAACCATCGCGTATGTTGCGGGATCATGTTTGAAGTTCGAAAACAATGACTTGATTGTTTAAACAACTACAAAAGCAAACGTTAAATAAACAACCAACAATAAATGATATTTATTAACTAATAAACGAATGACAAATGAGAAATATTTATTAACTAAAAAACGAAGTTCCAAAACAATTGTTGAAGTACCGAAACAACTTACAAAAAGTACCGAAACCTCTTATTTTTGAAGGACCGAAACTACCGTGTACCGAAACGACTGTACCCCGTTGTTTACAGTACCTGGTAAATGCTTGGCAAGGGGAATAACCAAACCTGGATTGTAAATAGTGTTGTCTTTGGGACAAAGACTTGGGAAAAGGAGAGAGGAAATCATATGTAGTGGAGCTTGACTGGGTTGATTTGGTGACCTTGCAGGTTAGCTCAAGTGGTAGATCATGATCATCTGCCTACAGCTTGGAGGTCCTACAGGTTCAAATCCTCGTCTGGCTGTGCATTTTTTCATTTATAGGATCTGAAATCAGTTTCTCTTTAATAAGAGATTTCAATTTATGAAACAAGATTAAAGCTTTCGTTATAGCAGAGACGTATAAAGCCATGTGTTATATACGTCTCTGGTTATAGCAAGGCTTTGTCAAGCTCAGGTGCTGCTTAAAAACATTTTGATGAGTTTCATTTTGATTTATATCATTTGAAAAACCGAAATGTATTCCAGGTCCTTTTTAATCACATTATCAAGAACAATATATTAATGCATGCATTTGTCTTATATTTGTTACTGTTGTATTTTTCAGTTGAAACATATACTATGATATGAGAGAAATAACTTGGACATGGATAGACCAACTATTTTGTTCAGGAAAAAGTTTTCCGAAACTTCACCAGAACTTGTTAGAAAACTACGTGACCGTATCAGGGGAGATGTACATATTGCATCGTTTAGACATTTCCAAAAGTTTACTGTTTGCTTGCCAGCACTGTACCTTTTCCAAAGCGAGTTCAAACAACAGTACATCATCAGTGTTTGTGACCTGGACATGAAAAATGACCTCAAAACAGCCAAGGTCATCAACTGGTGCAATGGAGTTAAAAACCTGTACCCAATAACAACAACAGGTAATTTTAGAATGCGAGGGAGGTTGAAAGGCAGTGCAATCTAATTAAAATCAGATCCAAGGATCTGATTTTAATTAGATTGAAAGGCAGTGATAGATCTAGTATGTCAGAGTCCCATGCTTGTACAAAAAGTTTGTTGGACTAATAGAATTTCTGGAGATAGTGAAATTCAATAAGATGGGACAAATTTTTTCAATATTGCAGTTTAAAAAAAAATACAGAAAAAAAACAACTTATTGTGGATTGATCACCGAGTAGTTACATGGATTGGCTACTACATCACTGCAATCTTTGTGTGGCCAGCATGTTATATTATTTGATTTAGATCTCTGACGGCTGATCCCAGAGAACTGAAAAAATATTATATCCAAATTTTGAAAGCAAAAAATTTCAAATAAAAGACTTACTTTTTCTACTGTGACTTTGGAATTACTTCAATATTTGTTTATAATTTTCAAGTTGATAATTAATGTAAAACCCTTTTGCAATTTTTAAATACATATTATTATAATGTATCCTGTATTTGTATGTGATATGCTATGTGACTGAAACAGAATCATAACTGTATCAACATATTGGTTTGCAGGTGACGGGAACTGCCTGGTACACGCTGTCTCCCTGGCACTGTGGGGGATAGAGGACAGTGAGCAGTTTCTGCGGACTTTGCTGTATTTGACATTGTCTGAAGTGGATGCATCATTGTCTAATGGGATGTCAAGTAAAATTCAACACAGATGGAAATATGTTCAGGATGAAATCAAGAAACAACACCCAAGAGAATTCAACTATGATATCACCTCCCTGGTAAGATAAGCTTTGATACATCTCTGTGGTATTATTCCACTGGAAAAACTTTTTATTGTTAATGTGTAGGTTGTCAAACAGGCTCATCCTCCTATAGGTTCATAGGAGTATGCACAGCTTCATTATACTTCAAAGCATGTGATTGAATGCTTCATAGAAAGAACAAAGAATCACATGCATAAGTATCAAGAAGCGTACAGCTATCAGTTATAATCCTGATGATGATAGGTCAAGGGGTGAGTGAAAAAACCCAGGGAGGAACCATGATCCCTTGTACTAATCAGGATACTAGTTGAATAACAGTCAGATTTCAACTTCCAGGTAATAAGATAATAAGTCCAATTTCAATTTACTAATAATTGATGAAAGAATAGACAAAGATAAAAATAACATAAAATTTTATATTGCAAACATCATATTAAACATGAAATTTGCATATAACAATGTGTCTGTCTGCCATTGTCAAGTTCTTACATGTCAAACATAGACGTGTGTTGTTCCATCCTTTATTCAACGCATTAACGTAGTCATAGTTAGCTGCTGCTGAGCTCTAGATTGATTGTGTTGTAATACATGCTGACCTTCACACAGCAGTAGGTCAACCTCCCTTCCCCTTTAAGGTCAAGGTCAGTGTCTGCTATCACTAATTTCATTCTGGACACACTCATGGTACTTGCAACTTGGTAATCTTTTGTAGTTTAGTCAGCCTTTTTTGGTCGCCATTTCAGTTTGGTTAGGTTTCATGAATTTTTCTGACAAAATCAACATTTTTGACAATTTTCTGGGAAGTTGAGATGGCGAACATACAAATATATGTAGACAAGCTATGAAATGAAGCTGTGCTTACATTTTCCTGTGTTGGTGGTACAATCAGAAGTAAGACAGCATTTTTTAACAAATATTAATGTTGTTATTTTGAAGCTGTAAGACTACCCCTGGTGACTGTATTTTAAACTTACTTTTGTTTTGACAGGACCTTCGTTCGGAGTGGGACAATGTTGTTCGGGCGGCTGGTGATGTTTTGGAGCCTGGGACACAAACAGCAGGCACACCATACCCATCACTGGAGGGTGTACATATCTTCGCGCTGGCAAATCTTCTCAAAAGGCCCATAATAGTGTTGGCTGAAAGGACAGTGAGATCAGTGTATGGGAATAGCATGCAGGAAAACTGTTTGTTTGGAATATATTTACCTCTGGAAGTAAAACACTCAGATGTTTGTAAGACACCAATCATACTTGGATATAGTCTGAACCACTTTGCACCCCTGGTCACCCAGGCCAATAGTCCTGATGGAGAGGGGTCTAGTCAGAGTATTCTCCCCTTAATCATGGAAGACTATACCACCCTGCCTGTCAGATTTCTGTTGAGAGAAGAAGAACATAAAGCTGCTGACTTAATGAAAAAGTATATGTATGTGAAAAATATTCCAAGGTTTTCTGATGAATCAATTAACAGTATTCCAGGAGTAGTATTGCAGCATCAATCCATACATGATGAACTAGACATTGTTAGTATGCACAGACGTGAATGTGAAAGGATATTTTTGAATATGCAGAAATCTATCAGTGGCAAGGTAGTGGTTTGTGCTAGTGAGAGAGTACCCACCTCTACCACAAGGCTAATCAATCCAAGTACGCCTCAGGCAAGACATGATCGAAATCAGAGAACAAAGCAACCCATATCCAACCCCACAAGCAGAGATCCTGAGCTATGTATTACGTCTGGATGTACAATGTTTGGGTCACCGGCAACAGCTCACATGTGCTCAGCCTGTTTTACTAAATATACAGTGGAATTTGGTAAGCAAGAGGCACAACTCCATGGGAGGAATTTACCAAACGAACCGTCAGCTCCACCGCTGACATTAAGTGGACAGGAAAGCTACACAGACTTGTCCGTCATGGGAATCAACTGCAGTAATCTTAAATGTGGTAACAGGTGCTCTGAAAAAACATATCCCTACTGTCACGAGTGTAATCCTCAGACACAGGGATCAGAGTTGGCACAACCAGTGGCAGGGGCAAGGGCTTCAGCTCCACCAAATATCGCGGTCATGGAAATGAAGTGTAGGAATCCAAAATGTGACAATCACTGCTCTACTCAGACACACCCATTCTGTCACGAATGTAAAGACTTCTTCATTTCACAGGGAGTATACTTTACTGCAATGCAAAGACATTTGCCAGCTATTGCTACTCATGGTGACATTACTTCGGCACCTGGACTAGCTGAAGCTCCAGCAGCCCTGGGAAATAGTGCCTTGCAACCACCTGAGGGTATGAATTTCTCATTCATGAAAGATCAGCGTTGTAAAAATACGGTGCAGTGTGTGAACCTCTGTACCACGTCCACTTATCCGTTTTGCCCTACATGCTCTCAACAGTTAAATGAAGTAAGCAACACTCTGCCATCAAAACCGGCATCATATCCACAGGGTCCCCCTATTAGAGAAATTACTGGTTCTTCTGCAACAGCTGTTAGGCAGAACGAAGAACCTGTAGTTCAGTCACATGGAGCGGAAGGCATAGATGAAAATAGCCTATTTGGAGAGGGAGATCAAGTTCCTCCAAACAGAGAACTTGGTAAACTTGATATTGCACCATCAGCTTTATCTGTAGAGGAGTTTGAAGAAGTCCACTCTCTTTCAGGTAATTTCGTCTTCAGTCCAGGGCCTTCATCACAGACACATGTGGTTCAGAGTGCAATCAAAACTCCCAACAAGTCCTCATCTGTAGGGACTCCTTCGCCACAGGAATCTGGTCAGCGTCTGCCATACCCTGAAGCAGGTGGTCACCAGCAAATTTCTGTACAATCATCAGGAAGCTCTTATGCTATCATCAGAGAAAGAACATTCAGCCAGGAAAACAATGCTGGTCCGAGTCAAGGGCAAGGTCAAAGACAACCACCAGTGTCACCAGAGTCACCAGAATTCTTGAAACAGCTCTGCTCTACTCCAGGATGCCATGGTGTTCGATTAGTTAACAACTTTGGGTATTGCATGGATTGCTGGACTAGATGTATAAAAGGAGTTGAGGTGCACGGACCCGTGATCCCTGAATCAACAATAGAGTCAACGTCGCCACAACTGAACACTTCAGAAATCAGATCCATGAATCCAATTGTCACGACATCAAAGGACAAGAAGGATTGTGCCTCTCCACTGTGTAACAAGAAGATCTACCCACCAAACAAACTGTGTGACAGCTGCATTGAGGTCCTACGTCAGGGACAGACTCGGTCACTAGAAGAGCAGCCCTCACCACGCCGTGGTTAGTATAGGGAAGCATGTGTGATTTCATGTTTATAAACTACAATGTATCCAACAATTTGTTGTATATGCAAAAGTTAATTCATGATCAATTTACGCACAAAATTATATACTGTATAACAGATTGTTTACATGGCAATGTTATCGTTCATACTCGCCACAGAAGGATTTAACTGCAAATTCAACAATGCAGCTAAATTTTCAGCTCTAGGCATTGTTGTAAGATCTAGTTTGAGACTTAAAGACAAACAGTAACAGTTTGACTTAAAGACAGAATTGGTACAAGGAACAACCGATACATTGCAGTTATTGACAAATATTATCATAAATCAAAAGGTTGCAGACAATTAATATAGCATTCCATTAATAATAATTACAGTTTTCTTTTTAAATGTTGATACAGACCCATTATGATGTTTCATTGTTTAAAAATATCACAGCAATGTTTAAAAATGTCAGTGTGTTACAATATCAGATATTTTAGTAATGAGATACTGTCACTTTCTGCTCTTTCAAAGGCAATTTCTGCCCTCTATTCTTTGACTGGTTTAAAATGATGAAGCATTGTTGTTTTTATTAGCAAGTTACGTACTTAAACTAAATTGCATGACTACACTTGCATATATACTTACTAGTTGGTTGGATATATCAAGCCAAGTTTAATCTAAATAAAATATATCTGCAGTGCAACAAGACTATCGCTTTAAAATTGTGATATATGTCACATCAGAGTCATGTGATGATAGAATAGCATCCGGAATGTGAAAATGACAGAAACAGACTGATGTTTTCCGTGAATTCTGCACTTGGCGAAAACATGAAAATATAGCACTGCATACATTTCAAGCTGTATTCATTAGTAAGACATAGGTGTATATTTGCAGCAGACCAGTTGTAATCATTTGATTTATTTTGGGAAGAATGGATAATTTGTTCCTAAGAAGAATATAATTATTCTGGAGACATCAGGGAAAGGAGTTCACTAACATCCTAACTTTGTTCTATTGCAGAAAAAAAGGGTAAGAGCTACTCACCCTCGAGACCTAAGTGTAAGAAGGAGAATTGTGACTTTCATGGTAGCAAGAAGACAAATGGATATTGCTCTCGGTGCTATAAGGAAGGTAATTATAAAGGAAATGGCTACTGACTTGTTCCCCACTTACGGTCCGACTAGTATACAGTATATTTAAATGTATTGCTGGTACAGGTGAAACTATAAGTAAACTTCAATTTCTCACCAATACTCAACGGGAAACTATTGGCTGTTTCTGACAGTTGACGTCCTCTGACACAAGATTTGTAATTACTTGATTTATATTACTTAATCAACGGAGCATTAATTGAACGATCAACATTTGAGCTTGCTATTGTTTTGATGTACATTGTTCCCGTAAACTACCACGATTTCTCTGATTTTGATTTGGGGAGATAAACAGGACTGAGACTGTGTTAGAATGTAGAGGATGTGGGTGGGAGGGGTACAAACTTTGAAGATATAGTACCAATTATATACAATAAAACACATTTATTTATTCCTAACAAAAATGTTTTATTTATAAGTCAAGTAAGAAATTGTCTCATGAACATCAATATCTACAAAAATGATGTCTAGATGATACTTCTAACCTCCACCGAGGTTTGTTTAATATTTGTGTTTTACCATAGAGTATATTTAAGATTATAAATTACTTCGTGAGGACTCTGAATAATATCCTTTCCATTCTCATTGACTTGTAGGTGGGGGAGATTAACTTGGGAACAGTATCATTTTCTATGATCTTATATTATGTGAAAGATTAATACTTATGCACATATGTATGAAACATAATTTTACTGTTGTTTCAGTTGCAAGGGTCCCAATAGAAGCTAAATTCAAACAGACACCTACGTTATCTAACTTAACACCACACAACAGGACAGTGGAGCCACCGAGGACTTACAACAATGCCCCTGTAACTCAGGGTGGCGTTCCTCCTATGATTCAATCTCAGCACTGTTTGGAGCCTGGCTGCGACAAGTATGGAGACCCAAATATGTGCTTCCGATGTACAGAACACTACCGGATAGCTTCATCTGGCTTTCAGCCTCAACCTCCTCCCTCCAATATGTACAGTGCAGGAGAGGTGATGAAGTACAATTTGGCAGAGAATCAGCCGCTGTACAACATGCCAGGACAACCACCTCTTCAAACCAACCCTGTGCTGGGCCTCCCAAATGAAGGCTACATGAACAACCTCTCTAAGCCGCAATCTTCCCCTGCAACTTCACAAAACGCTGCATTCCAAACAGCCATGTCTAACGTGGAAAATAACCTGAAGAATCGTGTGCTCTGTAAGACAGATGGGTGTCAAAATATTGGCAGTGGAATGAGAAGAGGCTACTGCAGTGAGTGCTACCCCTACTCCCTACAGAGAAGAGGTCAAGATACACCACAGGGGCTGTCCGCTGATGACCCACGCATGAACTCTGGTTGTTGTTGAAAAAAACAGGCCATTTCTGCAGAAAGTAATTTCACTAATAAATACTTTTAAAAAAAGACTTTTTATTGTAGATACAGATGTATATTGTAGAGGCATGCATACATTACATTTAGTTGTGTAGATTTTGTCAATATGTTTTTTTCTGTTTTTTTCTTTAAACTAATTTTCTAATATTTTTACACCCTGCAGTAAAATGCCTTATTATTTTTTCATATTATTCCTGACAAGTGATTGGCCAGGAGTGCATCACGTGTCCACCGATAAAAACCGATATTGACTTGGAGCGTGTGATTTTTAGCTCACCTGCCCAAAGGGTAAGTGAGCTTATGTTATTGTGCGTCGTCCGGCGTCTGTCCGTCTGGCGTCAACATTTTGCTTTAAACAACTTCTTTTCGGTAACCAAAAGGCCTAAGAAGATGATATTTGGCCAGTAGCATGCTGGGATCAAGGGCTACCAAGTTTGTTCAAATAAATGACCTTGACCCACTTTCAAGGTCACAGGGGTCAGATGTCTTCAATCTTCAAAGAACTTCTCAATTCCCAAAAGCCCCAGTGTACTGATATTGGGCCTGTAGCATGCTGGGATGAAGGGCTACCATGTTTGTTCAAATAAATGACCTTAACCAACTTTCAAGGTCACAGGGTTTGAAATATGTTAAAATCTTCAAACATCTTCTTTTCAATAACCAAAAGGCCCAGGGTACTGATATTAGGCCTGTAGCATGCTGGGTTGAAGGACTACCAAGTTTATTCAAATGAATGACCTTGACCAACTTTCAAGGTCACAGGGGTCAAATGTTGTAAAATCTTCAAGCGACTTCTCAATAAGCAAAAGTGCCAGGGTACTGAAATTCGGCCTGTAGCATGCTGGGATGAAGGATTAACAAGTTAGTTCAAATTAATGACCTTGACCAACTTTCAAAGGTCAAAGTGGTCAAATGTCATAAAATCTTCAAACGACTTCTTCTCAATAACAAAAAGGCCCAGGGTACTGATATTGGGCCTGTAGATTGCTGGGATCAAGGGCTACCATGAATGACATTGACCCACTTTCAAGGTCACTGGGGTCAGATGTCTTAAAATCTTCAAACAACTTCTTCTCAATAACCAAAAGGCCCAGGGTACTGATATTGGGCCTGTAGCATGCTGGGATGAAGGACTATCAAGTTTGTTCAGCTGAATGACCTTGACCAACTTTCAAGGTCACAGGGGTCAAATGTCATAAAATCTTCAAGCAACTTCTTTTCAATAAGCAAAAAGGCCAGTGTACTGAAATTGGGCCTGTAGCATGCTGGGATGAAGGACTACCATGTTAGTTTGAATGAATGACCTTGATCCACTTTCAACCTAATGTCCTTGTTAGACAATCAAGGTCAGAGGCGTCATATGTTTAAATCTTTTAATAGGTTCTTATGAAATCTGAAGATTACAAGTGTTAGATTGATAACAGGTGAGCGATGCAGGCCCATTGGGCCTCTTGTTGTTGAAGGACTGGGTGTTTCTAAAAATAGAATTATGACGTGTTTCCAAACAATACACCGCCCCACTTCCGAAGATTTTTTGTTGTGTTTTTTTTGAGGGTGCTTACATTACTGGTTTGTAAAAAATAAAACAATTGTACCCTTTAACTTCGGTCAATACCTGGATTTATCGACCCGAGAAAAGATATATTAATCGAGGACGCAGTCTGAGGTTAATATATCTTTTCTCGGGTCGATAAATCCAGGTATCGACCTCAGCTAAAGGCTATAATTGAATATTATATCTGACATCATATCTCCAAATGTTTTAAATCAATGTTATATTTCAAGTGAGCGGGTGGTAAGTATTCCCTCACCTACCCAACCACATGGGTCTCCTGGTACTCCAGTTTCCTCTGCACACTTAAATTAGGACCAACAAGAGTCATTAATATAAGTTGGAAAAACTTGTTTCATAATTTTGGAAAAATGAATATAGTTTATATATAAGTGTAAGAAATTCAGGTGATAAATTATATTACCATGTGTGGTTACAATGATTATGAGAAACTGACTGTCAATTAAAAAGAAATAGACAGTAGGAGTCGATCTTTGACAGCGAGAATCACACTTCTGCTATCTAGCACCACTAGGGTTTAACAATTTTGTTTCAGATGAGTCAAAGAAGAATGTTTAAGGTTCTTGTTACTGTTTATTTACTGTGTGTATTTAAATATCTAAAATACCACATTACCATCTGGGCTCCTACTCAGGAAACCCTTCTCATGCTCAAGCATGACTTTTGTGCTGAAACCAACTTTCTTGAACTCGCTTAAATGGCGTCAAACAATCAAAAGTCAAATGTTAACATTAAAAACAGTATTTGGCTTTAATTATCTTCGATTTTTTTCCAAATCATTGATAAATAATATTTGTTGTTAATTTATAACCAGAACAAGGAAAACGTTTGAGGGCAAACTCCATGCTAGAGCATGAGAACAGTTTCATGAATATGGGCCCAGGATCACTGCAACATATGGACATGTTTTTGTGTTGATGTGAAGTTTCAAATCAGATAATTATATTTGTGGTAATTATTTTTTTCCTGTTGTTAAATAGTTTGCTTGTATGTAAATAGAATGTCAACATGTTAACCTGATGTAAGACAATAATAAGGTTATACGGGAATAAGGATTTAGCATATAAGGAATGTCACATACTAATTCTTGTATAGCAGTACTTAACTTGGACAGTAAAGAAGCTTATTGTACAGTTTCTATAAGTTAAAAGTGACATACCCAGGAATAGGAAAACCGTATGTATATATTCCATATTGTTCATTAATTTTAGCTGAAATATTAAAACATTACATTTTTGTATTAAACAAAAGTACAGAAAGATTTTACCTGATAACAGTCATGTATGTAGGTATTGTGTACAGGTAAACATGGTTTTTTTTGTAGTCGGAGATATGAGGAGCATTGTGAATGCGCTTTGATAATTAATTTGTAATCCAAAAAACTGGGAACTCCTAGTGATGCAGAACAACAGACAGGTTACTAGAATTAGATGTTTCCTCCTTCAAGGTAATTATTTATTAGGGGTCCTGTTGTCTATGATAAATAGAAAGTAACCATAGTCCCCATACTAAGGGCTAGGTAGTTTTGTTGAGTAGGAAATGATCTAAAATATTCCCCTTGGCAATAATTGATTAATTTTGTTCTAAAAAATTCCAAGAATATGCCCTTTCATTATGTAGAAGGACTTTTGCATTAATATATGATCTTTTGTTGATGATTTATTAAAATAGGTGCAAAATTATCCGTGTGTACTTTTATTGAGGAGAATTCCAACAAATTACGAAAGGGTGATGCATAAGACGTGATTATACTTTATTTATTTATATTTTTTTTGTATCTGCATATTTACCCTTGAGGTCAGATATTTATTGAGAATATTTCCGTGCCGTTTGATAGTTATCTTTAACATAAAATTTTAAGTTTAACTATGACACCTTTCTATTCTGCAGTGGAAATATTTCGGAGGGTGTGGTGATGTTGTATTCTTTAAGATGGATATTGCTTTTATTCAACAGTAATCACGCTACAGAAAGGTCACCTACCTATCTGGGTGGAGTAACGTACATTAGTTACATATGGGCAATCATTATAGCTACTGTTTACTAACATTGTTTATTGTACAATTTTATTGGTATACTAGTAGGATACATTATATTGTTTACAGGATCCTATAGTCAGTTAGTGTGGTATTCTGGGAATCCATAACTCGTTGCATTAGGATATATTATGCTCACGAGTAATGCACATTCCTAGTGTTAAAGAAAGACTGACGATGTTTAGACAAGTTACTCTCAAATGAAGATTGTGACCTGGAATATCTCATTTACACTTCTATATGAACAGAGTGTGTGCTGGGACAAATTAAAAATTCAAAGATAAATTGTTCATATCTGATGAGAGGTTAAGTAATTGAAATCACATTAGTCAAATTAGGTTTTGTTATAGTACGATATAGATTTGCTTTCATTTTGCTTAGATTTCATAAAATAATAGGGCCATCAGGTGAAAACTTCTAGCAAAACAGTGGTCTTTCAAACCCTGTATTTGATTTGTTTTGTTTGTGTTTTACGTCCTTTTAACAGCTATGGTAATTTAAGGACGTGCCAGGTTTGGGTGGTGGAGAAAAGCTGGAGTTCCCCGGAGAAAAACCACCGACATAGGTCTCGAACCCGCAACCCAGTGGTGGAGGGCTAGAGGTAGCAGAATGATGTGATTTGGTTTTAGCTGGGAAAAAAATATCAAGTGGTGGTTCATTTTTCTGTAATTGATATTGTGTCATATATAAATATATCCAAATCTATGTAATTATCTGCATTTCATGTCAACCTCTGAAACCTCTAGTGAGGGAGATCGCCCTCATTCCACATTTTTCAATGAGAGAGAAAGTGCATGAAACGGGACTTAAACAGCTTTGCTCAATTTATCTTTCCCTTTTTATGTATCAAAATAACTCCAAAAAAGCATTCATTTGATTCAGACACACCTGTTATGATCATTACACACACCCTGCAGTAACTGTTAAGAGATCATGTGACAACAGAGTGTAGATTTTGAGCTTGTGTGAGTTTGGACTTGAATGAGGGAGTTTCGAGGGAGATTGTTAAATTTTGGTCAAAATGAGGGTGTCGTCCTCCTAACGAGAAAGGTTTGACAACTATAACATAAAGAGTGATAATGCAAGGTATATTACTTACTTTTAAGGCTTTTATATCTGTGATTATTGTTTGTATTAGGCCACCTGGTACATCTAACATGCTGATTGAACTTACTAAGATTTTACTATCTGTATTATACAATTTATAAATATCATTGGTATGCACACAAATTAGTGCTGGGTTATTGACATAAATATATGTGCAAATGTATGTGTTGTACAGTAATAACTTAGTGAAATTTAGAAGCAGCTTATTTAAAAAGAAAACAAAAAAGAAAGGGAAAATCGAATGCGGTTTATCAGTAAATGTACATATTCCCATATTGTAAAGGTCATGATCACTAGGTGTGATATTTTGTGTGGTTTTATTGCTTTCAGTTTTAAATGTGTTGTCACTTCTCACTGTATACCAGATCTAGATTCAGTATCTTGGTTAATAAAACAAGGACGAGGATTTATCGAAAATAATCCCATAAATTTCAGTACTTCTTCTTTAAATTGAAATAACAAAACAACATGAGTTATGATTCTTTATCATTGCAAAACTTACAACTAAAATATGTAAGGTCAATCAGATTTGATATGCAGGTATACTCTGTACAACCAATTGTATAGGTATATCACATGTTATATAATGTTTTTCATCAGGCAATTTTTCTGTTTGCACTGACACGTGCGTACAGCAGCTGTACCTAACAGTAGGTTACACTACACTAATGTAAAATAATAAAACATGATATAACTAAGGACTTTTTTTTCTTTGATAATGTGTTATTTTGCTTAAAATCAATAAAATATTGTTAGTAACTTTAAGTGTTTATCTTTTTCTTTGACTTGTACAGTAAAAATTAAATTAAATACCACCGCTTTAATTTACCTTGACAAAATTAAAAGTACATATGACTGAGGAACCATTTAACAAAAGGAAGGG